TGGATGTGGGTATGGGTATGGATGTGGGTATGGGTATGGATGTGGGTGTGAATGATGAACATACCCACACCCACATCCACACCACACCCACACCCCACATCCACACCAACACCCACACCCACACCCTAGTTTCAATATTGATATGGAGAACGACACGCTATTAATCGCACTAGAAGAAGCAAATGACCGATGTTGGAACGAGGCCATTTTGAAAATTAGACAAAGTAAGAGAAACATTGATATTAAAGAAATCATTCGACAAATGGATGAAGAAATAGAAAAGAAACGATCGAAATGTCAATTTTTACATAGTCCAGTGTTGTCTCCACCAGAGCAAAAGAAAATAAGTATCTTTTTAATTATTTTTATTCATGTGGCATCATTTTTGTTAGTTGTATTGGCTATTTGGAATTATGTTATTATTTTATCGAATCTTCTTCCATTTAATCGAGAAAAGACTGCACGCGTCTTGTAAATAAATTATCTCGTTGTTCTTTAAATCTTGTTAAATATTTTCTTTGTTGTAGCCATTATTAATATTAGTTATTTCTTATACAGACATTTTGGTGTCTAAATAATCATTATATTAAATAAAACTGTTCTGAAAAACAAATTGCCTATTAGGCTCGAAAAATTCTGCTCAACTACTGCTGTTATTACAGAAGCCTCGACATTCAATATCCTCCCTCAAAAATCGATCTCAGCCCAGATACATCCAAATTCGCTGAAATTTTCAGGATATGTTGGAGCTGTAGTGGAGAGACAATGGTAAAATCGTCAGCCCTATAGCCTGACGTTTGAGCAAGATATTCGCCAAACAAGGGTCAAAAATAGCTCATTTGGCATCCCAAATTTTTCTGTCCGGGCTCATTCTATATATTTAATTTTTTTTCGTGTTTGAAAGAACATGTCAGATGCAGTGCACCAAAGAGTCATTTTTTTTTAAATACTTAGTTTTTACACGGAAAAAAGGGATCACAAGTTTAATGAGTCAAAAAGTCCTCCAAAAAAGGGTAGAGCAAATGTCCCTAATATCGACAGCAAAAAATTGTCTTATCTTGTTTGAGTCCGTGCACAGCTATTTTATATATGAAGTAAAATATTTTTATATGTGCATAATCCCTGGATTCTGCTCTTTCAAATAGTATATAAACGATCT